AGTCAAGGCAGAGCCCAAAGACAAAGACAAAGACAAAGGCAAGACACTTTGTCAGTCTCGTCAGTATAGTTGTAAGTATGGTATGTGGTCTAATGATCTGCACAGGGTCTCTCGATATTAGACAGAGCGAGGTGGAGACTGCGAGTATTGGAGGTTGCGGTGATTCGTAAATTCCTGCGGCGGTGGCTGGGGGCAGTTTCAATACATCCGTGAAGGAGTGAATTGCGACCGGATTGGGGCGATGCACGTAGCACCAACCCTGGTAATTGATGACTCTGAATAGCCTACCTATCTGACACTGATTTCCAGTGATTATTTCTTTGACTCCTAATTAGCTACAGTTCATGGCCTCATGGGTTGGCTGGTGATGGGGGTCTGAGAGCGAAGTACTTGTGCTTAGTTACGCGAGATCGCGCATCGGTTTGTGGTAACCGTGGCCACACTGGATCGAAGACTAATAATACTGACTATTACAATGAGTCAACACTTACACACCATGTCATGTCGGATTGGTACCACAGCTGCATCGAGGACAAAATTGTTTGATGCGCTAGATTCAGGTCTAATTCTAGTGAGCGCCACTGTCAGATCCTATATTGAAATTAACTAGGGCATACATATCATAGATAATACTAGGTAAACTACTGGTACACGTAGTTTAGACAATACCTATGAGATGGCTTGCTCCTGTAACAGGCTGTACAGAATGACCTGTCGACTTGCCAAAAGCAATGCGACGTGATCTACAGGGCCGGATTCGTTTCAATATCAGACAAAAGCCGGCAAATATGCCGACACCGCGCGACAAGTATGATGAGATTCAGCACACCATATGCGCATAAATGAATTGCTCCGACAGCTACCGCGAATGGGCAGTTCCCCCTCTTCATCGATGCCAAGACTGGCGAATGGTAAATGCGACAGGGCTTCGGGGTTTTCTATAATTGGGTGGGGACACGAAGGAGATGATGACTTTGAAACACATTCGAGGAAGCAAAAGAAAAGATCCCAGGTTATGTGACCGAATTCCCTGGTGTGTGTTCGCCGAAACGGATTATATCTCCTACACAGCTCAGGCCAAGTTACCTGGAATGGATGAACGCTCTTTTTGTCATTCAGTCAGTCACTTGGTCGGGCGGTCGGTCGGTCGGTCCAAAGTCAAAGTCGCACAACTGTCCCACACCGGCTCTATTCATTCCATGCGGCACTTTTCGCATCAGTGACTAGCTAATCGTTTCCCTTGAATGGTATGACAGGCAATGCTGCAGATTCGCGGCGAGGACCATGGCCTCGTCACATCATTTGGTCTGATGAATATCGTGTGACACGGCATCCGTGTAACAGGGAGCGAGAGAAAACAGAGATAGATACGTAGATACTTTATACCTAAGATGTTTGATGATGAAGCAACCAGTAATAGCCGAGATAAGAACGTGTCTGATCTGACATCCAGTTCGGACACCTGGCCTTGGAGGCAAACGGAAATGACAAAGATCTAACAGCCGAGATATTTACGATATTTATTTGGCTGACTTACAACATGGATTTATCCTGCAGGTGATGCACCGTGAACTCAATGGTGCTCTCTCTAAGACTTGAGCTCGTATTCTAAGATTTAAGGTTCGCAGCTCTCTACCCCGCAATGACTCTTGCCTTTCATAACAGTTCATGGAAATATGGGACAAGTTGAAATTGTATACTTCTCAAGAGGTGATGCTGCGTCTCGTTTGACTCGAATATGACTCTTTTTAGCATTGGCCGTATCTGACGCGTACTCTGTGGTACATGTGCGCACGCAGGCAACAGCATGAGTTCCCTACAAGGCAAATGAGTAGCGGGCTAGAAGGGCCAACGTAATACGTGTCGCGCAGCACACAGACAACAAAATATAAACGGACCGAAAACTAACTACCTTATGTTACAACTCATTGTTGAGCTCTCGACACTGACATTGTTGATCGTTCAGTCAGTTGTGAACATACAAACACACCTTTATAAGATTGAGAGGGATGTGGGACGGTAAGATGTAACAGTACCAATCGAGCCAGTCATCAGATCTAGCTGCCGTGAGCAAAATTGGATACGGACCATACGAGTAACATGTGCAATAAGCAGGCATCTGTCTCAACACACCGCACAGAAACTCCAAAAAGGGAAATCATATATGAAAAGAGGGCGGGGAAAACGCAACCCTTCCGATCAATGATGAAGCGGTTACTTCAGTCTGACGCCACTGACCTAGCCCCCGCTTCGTGCAGTAACATCGCCTAATGCTGACAACTCCGTTATGTCTTGAGCGGTCGGCTTATTCTCTATTTAATTATAGCTCTATCAGAATTAGGTAGCGACTGAAATCTGAATCTGTAGACGATGTCTTACAGTATACTGCTTCTGTTTCACCAAGCTTGTTCCAATACATTTGATGTCTTTGCATGCCGAAACCACGTTGCCAATAGTGAACGGCGAGTTGCAGACCAAATCTGTCTGAACGTCGCAAGCAATGTTTCCTTACATCTTGAAGCTCAAGCTGGAAAATATATATACACGCAAAACCATGTAGCGTCGAGTTGTTATTGATATGCAAGCTGCCGTGTTAGCGAAATTGATGTGTGTTGCAAGATACCGCGAATACGAGCCGTTTTGGGAGGTTGATTGCCAGGATCCATCGTTAACATACAATTGTACTTACTTATATACGGCGTCGAGGCTGGGTGATAGATAGATAGATAAGACAATAGGTTCATATCGTTTCTTGACAACGCTGCGCGGAGAATGACCCCTGCAACTCTGACTAAGATCTTGACTCGGAGTTACGGACATACCTAGGCTTTCTTTTGAGCTCGTGATTCTGATCAGACATGTCATATGATCCCTTCCAATTTGTATTCAAGTTCGGACCTCAGCTGAGGACCTAGTACTGCCGAAGCATCCGTGTTAGCTGCCCTCGACATCAAGAATTCGATAGCCGAGCTAAAAGTGCACTTTACGCAGTCAGTCAAACGGACGTGGTGAAGGTTACTACGGAATCTACACTTGTGAACCAGAAAAGGGCTAGCTTTTGACATGACAACTCGTAGTGTGAAAGATCAACCAACCTCGTTACCGTGAAGCTCGTGGCGTTGCTGACTTGACCGTTAATAGTTTTGCATGTTACTTTCCGTCGTGAACATATTACTTCAAGCATGATGTTCATCGTCGTCCGCCACCTCTTCCACCTCCACGGCCGCCTCCCCTGCCCCTTCGCCCACCTCTTTTCGCTCCAGGCCTAACGTTGTTAACATACAACAACTCTTCACCAAACGCCATCTCCCCTAACTTTGTGTAGCTGATCATGCCACGGTCGACAATCGCAATAATAGTGCTCCTCCAACCGTGCTTGAGACGCTTATACACAAAGCCCGCCCCTGTCTTGCCATGGTCCGCGTCCGGCGGGTTCCAAGGCATGGGCAGGAGCAGAGCGTCCAGCTGCTGAAGCGTTGGGACGCTTGTGTCGCGGGCATCCACAATAGCCATCTGAAAGTCGGGCGGGGGTGGTTTCGTCTTGGAGAAGAATGATGTGCCTTTCCATACATTGTAATGCAGCTCGAATGGGTCTTGTGGTCGGGGTGAGTCTGGTGTTGGAATAGGACTGGGCTTGTGTCGCTGCACAAGAGCTATTTGCTCGAATATGGGTACATATGAGCGATATACGCCGGGTCTAACGAGCGGGCCGTATCCTGCGTGGCTGGGTTTCCCGGAGAAGGGGGCACTCGCCGATTGCGTAAGCGAAACCAGCCACTGCCAAAGTGGACTGGGTGCCTGTGATGGGGGCGTATACGACGGCGACGGCGTCGTCCGTAAAACGCTATAGCCCGTCCGTCTTAGACTGGCGTAAACCTGATATTTCTCGAGGCTGACTTTCCCCCTCTCTCCATCTCTGCCGATGAGGAGTGCATACGCGGCTTCTAAGCTTAGAGGTATACCGAGATCGTCCTCTTCAGGCGTCTGTTCTGGGTCGGAACTCTCGTCCTGTGCTGGGAAGATGTCACTAATGTCTCGAGCCGGCCACCATAGTTCGAGCGTCCCTCTCTCGACCAGGAACAGGGCCTCTTCCGGCAGCAGCCATGTCTTCAACCAGCCCGGACTGAACTTCTCGGCGCTCGTAACGACGCGACCCATCGACAGAAGCATAGTACTCGCATCTGACTCGACCGCAACGACCCGTTCCCTGGCGAAAAGTCCCAAATTCGAGCCACGGCTTTTCTTGGTCCTATCCGGAGGTTGTTTGTCGGTCGCAGGTTCGGGCGGTGATTCTTCCGGCGGGGTGTCGGCCCACCGATCGGGGAAGTACCACCCGCGCAGGATATTCTGAGGTTGGCTCTGGCGAGTATAGCTTAGCACATCGTGCATGGCAGCACGGCTGGACTCGAGGACGCCATCTTGGGCGCGAGTGCCGTGGGTCTCGAAGTCCTTCTCGCCGCGCCGTATAGACCTGCTGGAAGCCTGCGATTTCCTCTTGCCTTTGGAGCCGGCAAGCTGCGACGCGAATTGTAAGAAGTCCGGGGCGAAATCGCCGTCGTCGTCGTCAGATAGAGTCTCGTTGTTGGCGGGATTGAAGGACGCGGGCGTCAAGTCGTCATCGTCGAATGACATTGTTATGTTCAAGGATGCTGAATTTTGGCGGCACGGATAGAGTTGGAGGGGCAAGACTTGATTGAATTTAGACGAAGTCTAGGCAAAGCTGCAGGGATGGCAGTACCTGCATACGACTACTATGGGAGAAACCTTATGCTACCTACAGATAGCCGTGACATTAATGGTCCTCATCACACACTGTGGCTATTGCCTGCCTAACGCCGTTTAAAGTAAATGCCTACCTACCTATGTCCCTTTAATAGGTAGTCATATGCTATCTGACCTAAAGCAAGTAAATGACATGGAGAGTTGATAGCTGACTGGCTCAAAGCCAATTATATGTATGTCCTAGACTAGAAAGATAAGAAGATAACCAACCAAAAAGTTGAGAGCTGCAGGATTCGAACCTGCGCGGTTTCCCATCGCGGGATTTGAAGTAATCAGACCGGAAGTCCGATTTACCTAAACACGACGCCTTAACCACTCGGCCAAACTCCCTGTTCAAGACTTTAATGATTACAGATTAGCTATCTCGCGTTATACTGGCCAGTAGAGTGCAAAGCTCGCTCGGTTGTGTACACTCTATTTCACCTTCAAAGACAAATATCCAGAACCTAAAATATTAATAAAGCATATACTAGTATATATATATCTAGGTAATGTAAATTCGAGGAGCAAGCCTAATTCCATCATTTCAAACTGTTAACAGCGGAAAGGAGTATGAAGGAGTTGGGTACCCATGGTCAAGTATGATTGCATCGCCCGTGGCTCCGTCCTGACTAGAGATATGTCTTGATGTAATTCAGCTTGTGACCACGAAGCCTATTTCAGGCTTCTGTCGCAAAAGTAGCTAGGCAAGAATCATGTCAGAATATGAGCTGTATGCTGCTTCGCGCTTCAGATGGCAGTCTAGGCTCCCACAAGTTGGTCAGAGATAGAGCGAACACGATATCATGTTGGCCGGGTAAGCAGCACAGCCATGGGTGAGCAAGGCGCCACGCCACCTCTTGTACGTATGATTCATGATCAACGCGCGACGTGCATCTGATCAGTCCAGAACGACGGCTTGAATTGGTATATATTAACTCATCTATTGCATGGGCAAAGTCCTCAATCAGGACTAACTCAGGCCCAGCAATCCTCGTTTCCACGAAATAAACCGCGCTCTCCAACTCGCTGTCCTAAAGGGTATTGCATCTTTCCAACAACAGTAGTAAATCAGTTATTTTTCTTCTCCATAGGCCATGATGATCTCCCATCAGTCTCCGTAGTAGGAGTTCCACCTTAAGTCCCAAGCACATATTCATAACCATGAACGTCATACAACATATTGTGCTAACAAGAACACCATCAGCCCTTCCGGACTTACGCCCCTGAACGACGTATGCGTGTTCGTATGTCAATCGCCTTGAAACGAAAGCAGATAATTGATAGTGCCCAGAGAACGCTCGCAACCAACTCGGACGCCTAAAACACCCCTTGATACCGATGCACCTTTGATCCGTCTCCTTTAGTAGAACAGTTCCAGATCTCTCTCATGAGTGTACGCCTGACCGATATATCTCGTCTTCTAAGAGGCGGTGTATGCATCGATGACGAGATACGTGAGCGTCGTCGTCTCTCGTCTTCTGCCATAGCTATTGGCTTGCCCGACGACTGAGTGAGTGAGGGCACACAATCCCCACATCATTTCATGCCCTTTCATATTCAGTGACATCCGCACATGCTGTCCGTTTTGGGAGACTAATGATTCTCCTTTCGCAGGTACCGTATTGACAGGAGAATGAACTCTTTCTCTCCAGACTAGGATCAGCCAATATTGCCTCTTCAGTTCAATGACGACCGTGGATCCATAGTGCGGGACCAAAATGGTATACCGGTAGAACTGCCTCTCGATTGGAAATGAGTGGTCGCGTCAATCGCAAGCCTCTCTGAGCGCCAAGCTGGCTGTCGTTGGGCATAGGATTTCACGGCTTCTGTAAGAGCCCCTTGACCTTAGACAAGAGATGCCGTTTTTGCCTGTCCTTTCATAAAGTCTGTTTTCCTCTTCGTAAGTTTCGCTTATCCCCTAATGTTATCGCCAGCTTCGGATCATTCAATCAAAGGTTTCTTCTGGCCCCCAACTACACACAGACCCAAAGTCGCCAAAGCATTATGATCGGTGGCTAAGACGATTTGCCGGGCTGGAAGCATAGGATTCGTCTGGTCAACGGTTGAAGCATCTTTGGCTGCTTGTTCGATGGCATCCATCTCCTCCTTACAAGCTTGGTGGTCCAGGGGACAGATCACGATAGGCTGTCGAAGGGTGATATCTCTCGCTGAGGTCATGCTCGCCTAGATACGCTTTGTTAGTAGATGTATCAACCGGTGAGCAGGGAATAATAAAGGACACGATGGCGCATGCATACCTTGATGCTGAGGTAGAAATCTATCTTGTAGAGAGTTGATTTCGTGGTGAAAGACATGACTTCATAGTTGGGAAATGCGGGTTGCCCTCTTCGGACAATTCCATTGGAATCCCGTAAGTCCTTGTGCGGGAAAATGACACCCATGTTCGTCACATAACCCTCTTCAGGTAGTTTCATGCCCACGTTTTGGACGTGCTTCTGTATACGGTTGACTTTCTTCGTCGGTTCGTCGCCCTCGGGGTTGTAGGTTATCTCTTCCTCAATGGCCAAGGTAATGCTCTTTACTGTGACTTTCCTGGCCTTGGCTGGCCAGTCAAGGTTTGGTTGTATTTTGATATAGACGGTAATTGGGTCCATGGGGCCATAGCTCCATTTCGGCAACGACATGAACAGCTGAACAACACTGTCGGTGGTGGCCACTTGAGTCTCGGGGCGGTTGTACATTCCAAAAGTTGATAATGTGTCGTATCGTTGTAGAGGTACAGGGAAGGCGTATTTGTTTTGAGCACTTTGGCCCTGCTGTACTGTGACGACCAACTCGTAGTACGTCTCGGCCGTCCTACTAGGAAGCTGTAACGAGCCTGGCGGTATTCTTCGGTTCGTCTCCTCGCCTCCCCGCCCAAAGGGTATAAACAGAACAAACGGCAGGTCCATGGCGATGACATTGTCCGCCTCTTTACCCGACGAGCATCGGTACAGCAAAAGCTCCTTGCCCACAACGTCGGTGGTCTCTCGACGAGGGGTGCCGAGGTGACGTTTGGCTACGTTCTCGGCGGCCGGGTGGATAGTTTCTCTTCGTTGCAGACATATTCGAACAAGGGAGACGGCGACGGGAGCGGATACGCCTTGCTGTGGGCGAATCTCGACCTTGCCCTCGATCCGCGGCTAGGTTTTTCTGTTAGTCTTAATAGTCTTCGATACACGAGCTCTGGGTCGCGAGTGGAGGCCGACAAGGGACGGCGCAATTCACTATAGGAAACTCCATTGCGACGCCCAAGAGGGCGGAAGAAAGGCAGGGGTGGCGACAGAATGCGATGACCACAGCGAGCGCCACCGCCAGGCTACCACAGGCGCGATAACAATCAATGCACTCACCAAAGTCGCCGAGATGCCTGGATATCCGACCAGGAAACTACTGTTTGGCGGGCCCGAAACACGGACGAAAGCGGCCACTCGATCCGTCATGTTTCAAGGTACGGGATTTCGTCATCAATGTCGTGATACTGGCGAAGATAGAATCGGGACGGGACAATGGTGAGGCTTGCATTCAGTGGCGGCAACGGCAACAGCAGCGGCGCAGTGTGAGCCACATCTATCCTGCGACTACGGCCATGCGCCGGGGGAGCGTTCGGGGGGGGATGCCGCGGTCGGGTGCCAGTGTTGTCTTGTGCGTATTGGTAGGTTGGGGCGACTGGTAGGGCTGCGAGCGACACCGAGGTCTCAAGATGCTGGGCGGTATGGAGAATGGTCCGGCGTGTTGATACGATCGAGGATGGGTGGTACAGCACCGGGTGGGGATTGTGGTCGGCAAAGTCCGCTGCAAGTAGTAACAATACAGCAGCGACGGGGCGTATACTCGTGGACGAACCGCCGGCAAAGGGAGGTTGGGCGATGCACGAGGGAAGAGGGCTGGGCTAGAATTCGATGGCGTAGCACCCGGAGCGGAGGGGGTGTTCGGGTGTTGTTGGTTGAATAGAGGCGTGTGAGGGACGGCGACAGCGGCGGAGACGGAATGGCGGAGAATGAGAATGTGTGTTGAAAGAGTGTTGACTGCTTCAAAGTTGGTAGGCGATAGGTACTGACTGTACTTGGTGTGTATGCGTGCGTACCTAGGTACCTAGGTGCGGTTCCAGCAGATATGGATGCAGTCTAGTGTCTTAAGGCTGCAAATGAACAAAAGCTCCACCGCGAATAGTCAAGAATAGTCTCATATCGACATGTACCGACCGTACCGTACCATTGCAGATGGGTGGGTTGGTTCGGGATTGGACCAGGCACAAAACAAGGGTACCTGGGGCTTGGGGCTTGGGGCTTTGGGGGGGAGGAGTAAGGTTGGACGAGAGATGGCATGGATGGGGGAGATATGGATGTAGGTATGCCCCAGATGAGATGGGATGATGATTGATTGGATACTCACTTACACGTACAGGTGGTGGTGACTGTGCGCAGGCGTTAAAGTGACGAGTTAGTGGCCGTAAACAGAGCACTCCGCTCCGTCACCGCCCTGCAGCAGAGAACAACAACGTTCAAGGTTACAAGTCGTCGCAATGACCCTTCTTTTGGTGACACGTGAGAGCAGTGACATGAGCATTGCAGGTTCTAGCCAAGCAGAGAACAGCAAAGGAGAGAGAGATAGAAGAACACTTTGAGACATGTTATCAGAGATGATATCTGACACCGTAGATGTAGGTACCTAGCTACATGTAGACGGCACCTACACGTACTTTCCAGATAGCGACTCTAACTGTTCGAATTCCCATCAAAGGACTTTTGACTTCTTCAACAATTATAATTACTAATTGGTCAGCTGCGTAGGCAATTCATGCGCAGCTGAGGCGGGTGTAATCATAATACATGGTTTTATCGGACTGACGCTGGATGGATAGGACAGCCTTGATCCATAGTTGACAGTTCTAAATGTTTCATTGCGGCGGTATGGCTTCATCATACCTACTTGAGATGATGACATGCAGCGTCGATACGACCATACGGTATGCCACTTCCGGTCTTGTCGATTCACATACGCAGGCCTCGACAGACAACTGGACTTGGCATGCTGGACGACCGAGGCCTAATCTACCAGTGTTAGAGACGAGCTGGGTTGGGAACTAGTCTGCGACGCTGAGTGAGATCTAACAGCTGAAGGACGTCTACGTATGTCCCTGGTCCCAAAGACGCAAGGACTTATACTAGGTATTATAAAACTAGGCCTAATCATTTAACGTCTACTCGGTCTACTAGGTATGCGCAATTCCTTGGGTCATGAGCCTTGCGACCCAGAAGTTCGTAGCGAGGCCAAGAACAGTAGGTGAAGAATAGAGGCGATAGGGCAAGTTGAGGATCGAGGATCGTCAGGCCGCAACTCTTACA